ACGGCCAGCCTCCATCAGGGCCGGGCTCGCGGAGCCTCGGCACCGGCCTCCTGCGCCTCTGCTGCCTGGCCGGCGGACCCGCGGGCCCGCCCGGTCGGGCTCTGGGTGCTGCTGCTGCTGTGGGGCCCTACGGCCGCGCCGCGCCCGCCGACCTCCCGCCCCGCGGGGGTGGACCTGGCGGCCACGCGCAGCCTGACGCCAGTGGCCCATGGGCGCCGCGCGGCCTTCGCCCCGCAGCTCCAGCAGTGGCTGGTGGACCGCGGCGAGCCCAGCTGGGACCTGTTCATCCTGATGGACCCAGCTCCTGTGGCCCGCTACCTGGCCAAGTACGGCCCGGTTTTGCACGACACGATGCGGAGCCGCCACGACTACGACTAGACGACCTATGCGGTGGTGGACGCAAATCGGGCCCTCCGTCACCCACTCGACGCGACGTGGGACATCTCCTCCACGTGGGAGCACCTGACGCCTGGCTCGAACCACCAGGCGATGCCGGAGGCGCTGCTGCTTGCCTCGGTGAGCCTTGCACTGGCACTGGGCTGGTGCGACGTCGCCGGCGGCCCGCTCCTCGGCTTCTCCAGGATGGGGAGGCCCTTCGAGTTCCTGACGCTGAGGTTCGGGGACCAGGTGCTCCCCTCGCAGACGTTGGACCGTCTGTAATCAAGGTATGTGCACGGGTGCGCGCCCAAAATGAGACGCGTGGGAGCACGCCGCGAGCACATCTAGAGTGATCTCCCACATGCGGTGCATGTCCTCCTGGGCCCCCTCACTTCTGTCCTCCCCTCGTCTCCCTCTCTTGCATGGTGGTGCCCGCGTTTTCAGATTTTGTCTGGATTCCCTCAGGGTGTCTTCGGAATTCAACTTTCAGACAGAGGGGGCATCACCCCAGCGCCCCTCCGCCCGGGAGGGACCTCGTTGGGTATAGGCTCACAGATTCGCCAGACTGGGTCCGCTACGGGGGCCGAGGGCTCTCCGGTAGGTGGCTGATCCTTTAAATCCTGGAGGTCCGGGCCAGTTCGCTCCTCGCGGACCTCCCGTGTTCCCTCCGCTGTAAAGTCTGGCTTTCCGCCGAGGCTGCCGGCGCCCCCCCACCCTGGGCGGGTCCACCTGGCAGCTTCTGCTTCCGAGTCGTTTGCCGAGGCCGAGCGACGTCGACCCCCGCCCTTCCGGCCCCCGTCCTCGCGTGCCGCCGCCGCTGCCAACAGAGCTCTTCGGTGCCCTCTTCGCTCGTCCCTCCCCCGCCCCGTCTTCCACCTAGAGCGGTTTTTGGCTAGCCGAGGCCGGCCCTAACCGTGGCCGTCCTCGTGTTTTCATAATGTTTGCAGAGGCAGTGGTGAGCCCGGAAAAGTGGAGCGGCCTTGAGGTTTAAGAAGAGCTTTTTCAGCAGAGGAAGGGCATCGTTGATTGCAGTGATTCCTCGACGCGCGGAGGCTCTGGCTTCAAGCTCTCCCGTGCCCACCCACCCTTGGCTAGCCGAGGCCTGCCCTAACCGTGGCCGTCCTCGTGTTTTCATAATGTTTGCAGAGGCAGTGGTGAGCCCGGAAAAGTGGAGCGGCCTTGGGTTTTAAGAGGAGCTTTTTTCAGCAGAGGAAGGACATCGCTGTATATGTATATGTGTATGGGTATAGACGTGTACATGTATACATATATATATACAATACCATTATAACTGTATATATAGATGCAGCTTGGGGAGGAACGGTATACTCTCAATGGCCAGCCGATTCGTCGTTCGAGTGCACGGCCCCCTTTGGAGAAAGCATGGTGGCTTCACGCCCGCGACGCCGAGCTCGTCGTCCTGCCTCGGTCGAGCGGAGGTCTGGTGTGCGGCTGCCACCGCAGGCCCCGTTAGCTGCTCCCGGAGGTGCCACATCTGTCAGCACTGAGGCACTTCGGTAGGACGGACGGCGTGAGGAACGGGAGCAAGCTCAGGAGGAGAGAGAGAGAGAGAAAGAGGGAGAGATATGGTTGATTATTTGGATAGCGTGTCGCCCCGCTGGTTCTGGCCTACCACGCTTCGGGGCGACACGCTGTCCACTTCCTAGCCCCGAGGCGTCAATTTCCCGAGCTTTTCCGAGCCTCCTTCCCTGCGGAGCGGAGCGACACGCTGTCCGCTCGCGAGGGATAGCGTGTCGCCAGGGGGGAGCATCCGCGACGCGCTATCCTAAAGTTCCCCATCGGAAACACAGAGAAAGAGAGAGAAAGAGATAATGACATCAAAAGAAATAAATAAAGAGAGGGAAGGAAAGAGAGAGAGAGAGAGAGAGAGAAAACGAGAGAGAGCGAGGAGGGAGAGGCGGGCTTTCTCCGCGCGCCAGGTCAGGGCCTCCGGCGAGGTCGACACGGTGAGCGTCCTGAGGCTTGCGGTTTTGGTGCCTCATCCCCGCCGGAGTCGTCAGGAGGTCAACGCGGGGTGTTGGGTCAATGGTCGCTTGACCCTGCTCCTCCTCCTCCTCCTCCTCCTCCTCCTCCTTCGTTATCACTTCCATCGCCTCCTCCACGACGGACGGAGGAGGTTAGACGGATGGGTACCCTCGGATTCCGAGGCCGTGGATTTCGCCCGCGCTGCGCGTCTGGCAGCTGACCTCTAGCACAGTTCAGGGGCTCGTCGACGATTGTGGGTGGAGCTTACTTTGGGGCGCTCCTCCTCCTCCTCCTCCTCATCTTCTTCGTTCCCCGTCAGTGCATCAGTCCTGGCAGTCGCCGCTGGACTGGGGTGACAATCGGATCCAAGATTTCGGTGTCGATTTTTGTTGGCGGGCACCGTTCAACCCTTCAGGGCAGCCCAGCGCTGTCAAATTTTGCGCGGCGGTTGCACGACGACGACGGTTGCGCGAAAGGAGCGTGTTTGAAACCATTAATGTCCGCGCGCGGTGCAATTATAGCAGAGTGGATCTGAACGCGATATGTTAGTTTCCAGACCACGTTTGTAATTGCTTTTGAACAAATTGCCCCTGCATCGCAAAGGTATGCTGCTGACTTCTGAATAAATCAGTTTCTTTGTTTATACTTTGTCGATTTTAACTGTTCGGTTTGTTCATTGTTTTGAGCTTTTAGTCGAAATAGGCCGTGCGGTCAGTCTATCGAGTTTCAGCCGTTTCAAAATTTCGTAAGCGGGGGGTTAACGGTTGAACCGAGATGTCGTTGTTATTTCCAAGGGGTGGGTATCCATGAAGATTAGGTGTATGTTGTCGTTGTTTTCCCTACGCAATCGGTTTCACCAGAATGTGCCGGGAGTGATGTCAGTGCAGCCGCCGCCGTCGTCGTCCTCCTCCTCCCTCAGTGGCACGACTCCTCTTTGCCTTGCGCCGACTTTGCCCAGAGGAGGCAGCGTCTGAAGACGTCGAATGGGGAACAGCAACACTTGAGTTCGACGTGACTTGACCTGCCGCGCCTCCTCCCTCTCGTCGTCGTCGTCGTCGTCGTCGTCGTCCTCCTACTTCTTTTTTTCCGCGTCTTTCTCACTGTACTGCGATTCTCGGCCCGCCTCCCTCCCTGCGAGTCTCTCTCCTCGTGCCTTTTCGTTTGCTCTTTCCACCATGCAGCCAGGGGGGCTGCCGCGGGCGCGGGGCTGCCCGCTGCTGCCCCGCCTCCCAGAGTACGAGCTTGGCCAGGTGGTGTCGGTATCGAGTGCTTCGCATTCAGTGTGCCGGCCCGCGTTGCCTTAAGTCGGGCCTGTCCCTCTACAGGAGAAATACCCAGAAACAGTTAAAGCATAGTTTTGGGACGACTTTTTGATTCTTTTTCCCAACCCTCGGTCGGGTATTCGTTTTGAATAGAGCAGTGTGGTCTCCACTCCTTCCTCCTCCCTCCTCCCTCCCTGCCTCTTCCTGTCTTGCCTGCGGGGGGCTGCGATCTGTGAAACTGTCGCCATTTTCGAGGTCTGCTGGGGGGCCCGGCACAGTGAGGGCGACGCGCAGATTCAAATGAGACCTCGCCATCCCTGGGGGGCTGCGATCTGTGAAACTGTCGCCATTTTCGAGGCCTGCTGGGGGGCCCAGCACAGTGAGGGCGACGCGCAGATTCAAATTAGACCTCGCCATCCCTGGGGGGCTGCGATCTGTGAAACTGTCGCCATCTTCGAGGCCTGCTGGGGGGGCCCAGCACAGTGAGGGCCAAGCGCGGATTCAAATTAGACCTCGCCATCCCTGGGGGGCTGCGATCTGTGAAACTGTAGCCATTTTCGAGGCCTGCTGGGGGGCTCAGCACAGTGAGGGCGACGCGCAGATTCAAGTTAGACCTCGCTATCCCTGGGGGGCTGCGATCTGTGAAACTGTCGCCATTTTCGAGGCCTGCTGGGGGGCTCAGCACAGTGAGGGCGACGCGCAGATTCAAATTAGATCTCGCCATCCCTGGGGGGCTGCGATCTGTGAAACTGTCGCCATTTTCGAGGCCTGATGGGGGGCCCAGCACAGCGAGGGCGACGCGCGGATTCAAATTAGACCTCGCCATCCCTGGGGGGCTGCGATCTGTGAAACTGTCGCCATTTTCGAGGCCTGCTGGGGGGCCCAGCACAGTGAGGGCCACGGGCAGATTCAAATTAGACCTCGACATCCCTGGGGGGGCTGCGATCTGTGAAACTGTCGCCATTTTCGAGGCCTGCTGGGGGGCCCAGCACAGTGACGCCACGGGCAGATTCAAATGAGACCTCGCCATCCCTGGGGGGGTGCGATCTGTGAAACTGTCGCCATTTTCGAGGCCTGCTGGGGGGCCCAGCACAGTGAGGGCCACGGGCAGATTAAAATTAGACCTCGCCATCCCTGGGGGGCTGCGATCTGCGAAACTGTCGCCATTTTCGAGGCCTGCTGGGGGGCCCAGCACAGTGAGGGCCACGCGCGGGTTCAAATTAGACCTCGCCATCCCTGGGGGGCTGCGATCTGCGAAACTGTCGCCATTTTCGAGGCCTGCTGGGGGGCCCAGCACAGTGAGGGCCACGCGCAGATTCAAATTAGACCTCGCCATCCCTCGGGGGCTGCGATCTGCGAAACTGTCGCCATTTTCGAGGCCTGCTGGGGGGCCCAGCACAGTGAGGGCCACGCGCGGATTCAAATTAGACCTCGCCATCCCTGGGGGGCTGCGATCTGCGAAACTGTCGCCAATTTCGAGGCCGGCCTGCTGGGGGGCCCAGCACAGTGAGGGCCACGCGCGGATTCAAATTAGACCTCGCCATCCCTGGGGGGCTGCGATCTGAGATCCCCGCTTTCGAAGTGGCTAGGGTTGCTCAGGGATTGTAACTAATCAGCTTTATCTAGTCCTTGTCCTGTAGCCAGTGTCCTGCGAGTCTCCCGAATTCCGTCTGCAGACATATGTAACCCTCGCTCCGTCATCGCCCCCTTATAAAGTATCCTAAACTATTTGCGCCCCGCTTTTGCGCAGGGGTTGGGTACGTCGCCAGGGTAATTCCCAACCCTCCTTGGTTGGGTATTCGTTTTGAATAGAGCAGTGTGGTCTCCACTCCTTCCTTCCTCCTCCTCCTCCCTCCCTGCCTCTTCCTGTCTTGCCTGCGGGGGGCTGCGATCTGTGAAGCTGTCGCCACTTTCGAGGCCTGCTGGGGGGCCCAGCACAGTGAGGGCGACGCGCAGATTCAAATTAGACCTCGCCATCCCTGGGAGGCTGCGACCTGTGAAACTGTCACCATTTTCGAGGCCTGCTGGGGGGGCCAGCACAGTGAGGGCGACGCGCAGATTCAAATTAGACCTCGCCATCCCTGGGGGGGCTGCGATCTGTGAAACTGTCGCCATTTTCGAGGCCTGCTGGGGGGCTCAGCACAGTGAGGGCGACGCGCATATTAAAATTAGACATCGCTATCCCTGGGGGGCTGCGATCTGTGACACTGTCGCCACTTTCGAGGCCTGCTGAAGGGGCCCCGCACAGTGGGTACCCACCGCAGACTCAAATTAGACCTCGCCATCCCTGGGGGGCTGCGATCTGTGAATATGTCGCCATTTTCGATGCCTGCTGGGGGGGCCAGCACAGTGAGGGCGACGCGCAGATTCAAATTAGACCTCGCCTTCCCTGGGGGGCTGCGATCTGTGAAACTGTCGCCATTTTCGAGGCCTGCTGGGGGGCCCAGCACAGTGAGGGCCACGCGCGGATTCAAATTAGACCTCGCCATCCCTGGGGGGCTGCGATCTGTGAAACTGTCGCCACTTTCGAGGCCTGCTGGGGGGGGCCCAGCACCGTGGGTACACACGGCGGATTCACATGGGACCTCGCCATCCCTGGGGGGCTGCGATCTGTGAAATTGTCGCCACTTTCGAGGCCTGCTGGGGTGCCCAGCACAGTGGTACACACGGCGGATCGAAATTGTACCTCGCCATCCCTGGGGGGCTGCGGTCTGTGAAACTGTCGCCACTTTCGAGGCCTGCTGGGGGGGGGGGGCAGCGGCAGCACAGTGAGGGCCACGGGCAGATTCAATGAAGCCCTCGCCATCCCTGGGGGGAAGGGGGGGGGTGGCTGCGATCTGTGAAACTGTCGCCAATTTCGAGGGCTGCTGGGGGGGCCCAGCACAGTGGGTACCCACCGCAGACTCAAATTAGACCTCGCCATCCCTGGGGGGCTGCGATCTGTGAAACTGTCGCCACTTTCGAGGCCTGCTGGGGGGGCCCAGCACAGGAGGGGCCCCACGGCGGATTCAAATTAGACCTCGCCATCCCTGGGGGGCTGCGATCTATGAAACTGTCGCCACTTTCGAGACCTGCTGGGGGGTCCTGCATAGAGGGTAATCGCGGCGGATTCAAATTAGACCTCGCCATCCCTGGGGGGCTGCGATCTGTGAAACTGTCGCCACTTTCGGGGCCTGCTGGGAAGCCCAGCACAGTGACGCCACACGCAGTTTCACATTAGACCTCGCAATCCCTGGGGAGGCTGCGATCTGCGAAACCGTCGCCACTTTCGATGCCTGCTGGGGGGCCCAGCACAGTGACGCCACACGCAGATTCAAACTAGACCTCGCCATCCCTGGGGGGCTGCAATCTGTGAAACTGTCGCCACTTTCGAGGCCTGCTGGGGGGCCCAGCACAGTGACGCCACAGGCATGATCAAAATGAGACACTCACCATCCCGGGCGGGGCCTCTAATCTGTGAAACTGTCGCAATTTTCGAGGCCTGCTGGGGGGCCCAGCACAGTGAGGGCCACGGGCGGATCCAAATTAGACCTCGCCCATCTTTACGCAGTTGTGTGCTGAGTTTCTCTGCCAGCGTTTGTTTTTTATTCCTTTGGCTTGGGGGGGCTGCGATCTGTGAAAACTGTCGGCCATTTTCGGCCTGCTGGGGGGGGGCCTGCCACAGTTACGCCACAGGCATATTCAAAACGAGACCTCGCCATACCTAGGGGGCTGCGATCTGTGAAAATGTCGC